ACAACAACAACAACAACAACAACTGGTATTTGAATACTAGTAGCATAGCTTCCAAGGAGCTTTGGTTCTGGAATGGTTATGAATCGGGCTTCTAATCTGAAGGTCAGCAGTTCAAAACTGCCAGCTGTTCCACAGGAGAAAGATGAGGCGTTCTGCTCCTGTAAAGATTTATAGCCTCGGGAACCCAGTATAGGGTCACTATGAGTCAGAACTGACTCTACAGCACATAACAACAACAACAGCATAGCTTCCAGCATCACAGCAACATGTAAACCACCACAATACAACAAACCGATAGACAAATAGTGGTTTGCTTACCATGTACTTTTAGATCTGCAGTAACTGTGGTAGTTTTTAAGTTGAGTCGGTTCTGATTCATTGTAACCCTGTATAGGTTTACCAAGAAGTAGCTGGTAGGTTTGAACTGCTGACTTTTGGTTAGAGGTCCAGTACTTATTCTACAGTGGCACACACGAGGACTCCAGATTAATTGCTCTATCTCCAAAGCTGGTCTCTAGGTTATTAGGACCAGAGGGAAAGTGAAAGGCAGTTCAGCTGAGGTAAATGAAGGACACAGGACCGTCTTTAATATCTGAAGACACAGAATATTGTCATTTTTACGAAGTGCCATTGAGTCAGTTCCAACCCATAGTGACCCTAAGTACAACAAAATGAAACACTGCCCAGTTCTCCACCAGCCTCACAATCATTGCTGTGTTTGAACCCATCAGTGTAGTAAGTGTGTCAGTCCATCTCCTTTTTTTGCTGACCCTCTATTTTACCAAGCATGATGTCTTTCTCCAGGGACTGGTCCCTGCTTATGACATGTCCAAAGTACATGAGACAAAGTTTTGTCATCCTCTCTTCTAAAGAGTGGTGTGGCTTCACTTCTTCCAAGAAAAATTTATTGGTTCTTCTGATCGATTGTTGCTTCTTCATCATCACCAAAATTCAGATGCATCAATTCTTCTTCCATCTCCTTATCCCTTCACTTCTCTGTTAAGGTATTGCACTGTGGCGCCTTGCATATTTATGTCCCTTTGTGTTGGTTCTGACTCATAGTAATTCTTTGTAAGATTTCTAAAGATTGGCTGGTGGGTTTGAACTGTTGACCTTGTGGTTTGCAGACTAGTGCTTATTCTACAGTGCCACACCAGGACTCTTACTATAAAATTGTTGTTGTTATGTGCCGTGGCACATATGGTTCCAACTCATAGCAACCCTGTAAAGGTTTCTGAGGCTGTAAATCTTTATGGGAGCACCTTTCTCCTTATCTTTCTCCCACGGAACAGCTGGTAATTTGGAACTGCTGACCCTGAGGTTAGCCCCCCAGTTCGTAAAGCAGAAGAAATTAGTGAAGGTTGGAAGACAGGTATTAGTGGAGCTTCCAGACTAAGTAAGAATAAGGTCCTGGTGGTCTGTATCTGAAAATTGGACAGTGACACCTCTATAAATAGTAGGAAGAGAAAGACTCCCCCCCCCCCCATTTTTCATGAGGCAATATATGATTGTGATTTTTCTAACTCCATGTTCTTTTGTGATTTATTTTGCTTAGCGGTTAACATATGAAGAAAGAATGGCTCGTCGACTGCTAGGTGCTGACAGTGCCACTGTCTTTAATATTCAGGAGCCAGAAGAGGAACCAGCCAATCAGGTACAACATTACTTTGAACTTCTTTAAAAACAACTTTGCTCTTCTCCATACTCTTTTTGTGAAAAGTTCAGGAGAGGTTACAGAAAAGCATCTTTAATCTCATCAGTTAATTGCATAGGTAATATTTACTGTACCATGTAATCCTAGTGTGGCGTTATAGGATAATCACTGGACAGCTAACTACTAGGTCAGCGGTTCAAACCCACCCGTCACTCCTTGAAAACCCTATATGGAACTGACTTGGCAGCCCTTAACAACAACAACAAGAAAATGGGCCAGACACTGTGTTAAGTGATTCATGGGATTATTTCAGTCAATAATGCCTATTCTATTTATCGTCCCATTCTCAAATATCTTTCTGTTTTTCCTGTCCTGTGCTTTTAATGCAAAATATTTTGGTATAGAGTAAAACATTTTCACTGAAAAATTCTTGAAATGGTAGTGAATATTTCCTATAGTAGTCTTAATATCCAAAGAGAAATATTTGTGTACAGAAAAGACTATCCTTGTCTTCTTTCTCATAAGTGACTAATTAACAGAAATTTCAAATGGTGTCTTTGTGCCCATGCTGCTACCAAAGGAGTCAATGTGTTGATTTTCAGTGAACTGTTGTATATCTCTGCTGCTTCTATTTGGAGTTTTTTCAAATAGATTTCATAATTTCTTTGGAGAGTTATGTAGTCCAGAAAGTTAAAATAAGGTTTTTTAAAACAAATTTGAAGGGCCAAATAAACATTTTTTCATATCTATTGAAAAATGGGTTAAATTTTCAAAGTATGAAAATTTTCTGTGTTAAATTATTAGCACAAAAGTTTTACCTAAAGAATACTAGAAGTCTTACTACTTGTATTATTAGTGTTCACTCTTTTCTTCTGCCATTACAGGACAATGGGTCTCATGCTTCTGTAGGGAGTCCTCAAGATGGTCAAAAGGTTAAGCTTTTCACCTTTCGTCTGTTTCCTTTTACTGTCTCTGTTTTTTGTCTGGTCTGCCTTCTTTACCTATGTATCTGTCTTTTCTGACCTTTGTATTTTAATATATTTTTTAGATGATAGGACATAATCAAGAGTGTTATAGTCAGCATATATTTTAATTTAATGTCAGGTCAACAAAATTATGATAATAGGATATTTCTCATTATTTAATTACAAAGTCAAATATGATTCTGTCATCAGTGGATACTCTGAGCCTTAAATCATGAAAAGTTTTTCACTTGTTATACCTGTCTCTGGAAAATAAAAGTACAAATTTTTAAACAGGTAGATTTGATTCCTATCAAATAAAACGAAAACAACTTGTATAACTTTTGCAATTTTACTCCTTCTGTTTTATGTTTCCCCTCAAGCCAACAAACTGTTGTTTTTAAGATTGAGTAACTTATTTCAGAGAAAACCTACTTTAAAAATCTTGTATTTATTATTATATGGGGAATTTTCTTTTCTGTTTTTTAATACTCTACTTTCACTGTGCCGTAGTTGTAAGCATGAGAACTGTAGGAGCTACCTTACTCCCCATAGGATGTTTATGAATTCCTTGCTTTACTTTGTATTTTCAACCGAAAATTTGACTAAATTTTTGGTCCCATTTTTCTTCTAAAGCGGGTAGAAACAGTAGCTGCTGAGGGGTCCTGGTGTGGCACACTGCGGGATAAGTATTGGACTGCTAACAGCAAAATCAGTGGTTCAAACCCACCAGTTGCTCCTCAGAAACCCTATATAAAGTTGTTATGAGTTGGCACTTAACAGCAAGCCGACGAGCTAAGGAGGTGTCTAGAGGTTATGTGAGTGAAAAACATAAAGACATGGTGTCACCTTTTCTGCCATTCATTTGATTAAATGCTGTGTAGTAGTACAGCTACTTGCCACTCTGAATTGGTGTTTACACTATGGAAGGAAATCAGTGTTCCACTATGTTTTGTTTTTATGAACAATGCAGGAATATATAGGTTTTGCCATTTTCTGTTTTCTCATCACCCTCCATCCCCAACCCGGCCCCTTCCCATAGAGAAAACATAGAAAGAAGTCCAAGTTCATCTTCAAAGATCTTTTTTTTTGGGGGGCGGGGGGGGAATGATAGGACTTAGAGACAATATGAAATATCATAGCTACTTAATTCCAGATGTTTTTTGTTTTGTTTTTTAAGAGTGAGAGAGACAATTGAAATTGACCCAGACTATGTTTTTAAGCTCCATGCTAAATATCTCACTGCTTTTCGAATATCTTATTGGAGAAGAGGATGAGAGTCATGAGTCACGTTGTACCATAGGGGCTGAGATTGCTAACATGACTTCTCTTTGTTTGATATAGGAGTACAAAGTCTCCAGCTGTGAACAGAGACTCATCAGTGAGATAGAGTACAGGCTAGAAAGGTCTCCTGTGGATGAATCAGGTGATGATGTTCACTATGGAGATGTGCCTGTGGAAAATGGAATGGCTCCATTCTTTGAGGTGAAGCTGAAGCATTACAAGATCTTTGAGGGAATGCCCGTCACTTTCACATGCAGAGTGGCTGGCAATCCAAAGCCAAAGGTGAGTTGAAAACAAGTCTTCTCACAAGTCATGTTTTCTGAAGGAGAGCTGAGTTTCCAATGTACACTAGGATGACCAGACACAGACTATCTTTCTTTATATCTGTGATGTAAAGTGTCTTATGTATCCTAGGTTCTGGGTCAAGGAGCCCTGGTGTTGCAGTGATTAAGCAATCAACAGCTAACCGAAGGTTATCAGTTTGAACCTACCAGTCCACTGTGGGAAAACATGTGACAGACTCTATAATAAAGATTGACAGATTGCTGTCATAAAGATTTACAGCCTTGGAAAACTATGGGAGCATTTCTACAGTGTCTTATAGGATTGAAGGCAATGAGTCTGGCATTTTGTTAAGTTCAAGATCATCTTCAGGATACTTTAGAAATCTGAAGAAGAGAGTCTCGGAGTGTAGGCTCGAGTAATAGACTAGGAAATGAATCATTAAATTCTAATTGAATAATTGACAATAAGCTGAACTGCAAGGTTGGTGGTTCAAGCTCACCAGTTGCTCCTTGGAAACCCTATACACAGCCACTATGAGTCAGAACCAACTTGATGGCACTTAACAACAGCTATTCATTTACTGCTCTTATGAAGTTATCATCGTTTCTCCCAAAGTGCAAATGCCTAAACTGACACCACCACCCATTGCCTACAGGTCTTAATTCCACCCACCACCCTGTGGAACATTTCTACTCTGTTTACAAAATCACTATCAGTCCCAGTCAACTTGGCAGCCCTGAGTTTTTGGGGTATTGATTTTGATGAGTCTGAGTCAAGAATCAAAGAGTCACTGGGAGTGCAGTTTTCAGAGAGTGGGCATCCCAAGAAAAGTGGGGGAGGGGGACAAAAAAAAGGAAGCAATTAAAAAAAAACACACATTTGGATCTTCAGTAATAAGCTGAATATCATTCTTTGTTGAGAGAAGCAAACCTAAGAGTTGTAAAACAGCTCAAGCTTAGGTAGCAGATCATTTAGTGCTAGTTTGGGTAGTCTAAGGTATAGATAATTCTGTAGGTATGTTATTAATCTATTTTTGTACCTGAATTGCCATCTGATAAGTATTTCCTGTGAATATCAATATCAGTAATAACAATACAAAGTCTGCAAGTTCCAAGAGAAGTTCTGCCACTTCCTTGTCCTCTTTCATTAAGATGGCCCCAACTTCCAGCTGTATCTTTAGCTCCTATACCTAACAATGGAGTCCTGGTGTGGCGCTGTGGACCACAAGGTTGGTTTATACCGCATGGTTGACAGTTCAAACTCACTAGCTTCTCCTCAGAAACTCTGTGCAAGGTCGCTATGAGTCAGAACCAACTCCATAGCACTCAACAACAACAATACCTAACAACCACAAACCTAATTCAAAAATATTAACCAAATTAGCAGACACCCAGGAACCAGTGACTTTGTTTAAAGATGTTTAAAAGTAGTCTGAATGTTTTTTTTTTTTAATTTGTGAACACTTATTTTTACTTTTATATTTTTCAACATTTAATTTTCTATTCTACTTATTACTATTTTCAAATTATTGTCTAAATATTGCTGCTCCTCAAAAAATCTATGCAGGGTCGCTATGGGTCGGAATCGACTCAACAGCACTTAACAACAATAACAAAATTTTGCATGGAGTCCTGGTGTGGTGCTGTGGGTTAATGCACCAGACTGCAAAGCTGTTTGAACTGTGAGGTCGGCAGTTTGAGCTCACCAGCTGCTCCTTGGAAACCCTATACAGGGTCTCTATGGGTCAGAACTGACTCAACAGCACTTAACAACAACAACAACCAATATTGCATGGACTCCTGGTATGGCTCTATAGGATAAGCACTGATGGCTAACCTAAAAGTCAATGGTTCAAACCCACCGTTGCTCCTCAGAAACCCTGTGTTGGGTCACTATGAGTAGGAACTGATTTGATGGCAATTAACAACGACAACAAACACTTTTATGTTTTCTTTAGTATAATAGGAGATCTGACATAAGCGTTCAACTTTTGATCAAGAATTAAAGCTCCATGACCCAGAATTAAAACAATGAAGTTGCACCAAGCTTTTATCATTGTCCCCCTCACCCTCATGTTTTCTTGCCTGATACACATCAGTTGAATGATAGCAACTTTCAGTCTGTTTTCATAATTTTGAGTCAACTTCCTGATGTGGTGCTGTGGGTTAATGTGCTGGACTGCAAAGTTGATTTGAACTGCTAGGTCAGCAGTTCAAGCTCACCAGCCGCTCCTTGAAAACCCTGTACAGGGTCGCTATGGGTCGGAACCAACTTGACAGCACTTATCAACAAATTATTTGAAAGTACAAATAAAAAGAAAAACGTAATGCCATTGCATAAAAATTACCACTGTGAACACTTTGATACATATCACTGCATTTAAGTAACATTATTGCTAAGTGCCTTCAAGTCTGTTTTGACTCATAGCAACTCTGTATAGTGTTTCCAAGAAGCGACTGTTGAATTTGAACCACCGACCTTGCTGTTCAAACTAACCTTGTGGCTGGATGCTTACCCTGAAGCGCTGTAGTGCCCAGATCGCGAGGTCCCCAAAGACCAGCAAGGAGCCGATGCCGATGCAAACACACAAGGGTTGTTTATTCAAGCTCGAGCTCGGACCCCATCCGTATCCGACAGAGCGGACTTGGGATAAAGGCCCCTAACTCTCAGTCAGCAGGGTTTTATTGAGGTTACAAGCAAGTTCGGGGATTTTCAGCTTAACGACACTAGGATTGGTTAACATTTAGCAAGATATGAGTTGTTACACTCTAATTGGTCATTTCTGGTGGCCTGAGCTGTAGGGCTAGGATAGGAGGAAAATCTGGCATTGAGCTAACGGCTATATCTAGTTTTGGTTGTTGCTAGGGCTGGAGGGCTATTCTTGTGCATCACGAGCTGACTTGGCACATTCCTGTAGTTTTTCCTGGAACAGGGGGACGTGCTCAGGCCAATGTACAAAATGGAGTCTTTTTCTTAGGTCTCACAGCGCACCCGGAGATTTAACTAATACCTGAATGTAAACAACCCATATGGCTGAGTTGATTCCAACTCATAGAGTAGAACTGCTCTGTAAGGGTTCCAAGGCTGTAATCTTTAAACAAGCAAACTCCACATCTGGTGGATTCAAACTGCTCAACCTTTTGGTTAGCAGTCAAGTACTTAATCATTATGCTACTAGGGTACCTCTGAATGTAAATACCCACTCATATACATTTTTTTTTAAATAGTAAGAGGATATATAAATTTTAAAACTAACATTAAAATGAACTCATTTGTTACCTACTTTTTTAAAAATTCAATGATCATCATATGCAGTTGTTTAGTTTAACATTTTAATCTAAAAACTTGGATTAGCATTGCAAACTACACTGTTGCTATTTATCAGTCACCCAAATAAAGTCTCCAGTCTTTTTTTGTTAATTTTATTTATTTTATTGTTTTTGAGAACACATATCAAAAGACATAACCAATCCAACAGTTTCTACATATAGTTTAGAGACATTGATTACATTCTGCAAGTTGTACAACCATTTGCATCCTCCTATTTTGAGTTGTTTTTTCCTCACTATGAACTCACTACCCTATAAAGTTCCCGTCTAATCTTAAACTTAATTGTGCTTATGAGAAGCCTATACATAGAGGAAGAAGCAGTTTAAAATTAGGAAGGAAATACCACAGATGTATTCTTTCACCATACTTATTCAATCTGTAATCTGAGCAAATAATCTGAGAAGCTGGATTATATGAAGAAGAATGTGGCATCAGGATTGGAGGATGGCTTATTAACAACCTGTGATATGCAAATGATGCAACCTTGCTTGCTGAAAGCAAAGAGTACTTAAAATACTTACTGGTGAAGATCAAAGACCACAGCCTTCAGTATGGGTTGCACCTCAATGTAAAGAAAACAAAAATCTTCATCACCAGACCAATAAATACCATCATGATAAATGGAGACAAGATTGAAGTTGTCAAAGACTAATTTTACTTGGATTCAAGATAACACTCATGAAAGTAGCAGTCATATCAAATGATGTAGTAGTGCATTAGACAAGTCTACTGCACAAGACCTCTTTAAGGTGTTCAAGAGCAAAGGTGTCAGTTTGAGAACTGATGTGCACGTGACCCAAGCCATGGTATTTTCAGTAGCCTCATATGCATGTGAAAGTTGGACAATGAGTAAGGAAGACCATAGAAGAATTGATGCATTTGAGTTATGGTGTTGGAAGAGAATACTGAAAGTACCATGGACGGCCAAAAGAATAAAAAAAATCTGTGTTGGAAGAAGTACATCCGGAATGCTCCTTAGACGCCAGGATGGCAAGACTTCGTCTCACATACTTTGAACATAGGAGGGACCAGTCCCTGGAGAAAGACATTCATGCTTGGTAAAGTGGAGGGTTGGCAAAAAAGAAGAATATTCCTAAAGGGATGGGTTTGCACAGTGACAGCAGCAAGGGGCTCAAATGTATCAACGATTATGAGATTGGCATAGGACCAGGCAATGTTTCATTCTGTTGTACATAAAGATCGCTAACATGTAACAACAACAATCTAATGTTTTGAGTTACTATTACCAATTTGATCCCGTGTTGATAGTTCTTAAAAGAGCATAATGCTCAAAGGCAGACCTTTTTTTTTATTGGTTAAGCTAAATCATTGTTTGGTTTTAAGATTTCAGGGTTTAAAGATTATCTCTGGGCAATGATTTCAGAGGTCCATCCACCTTCTATGGCTCTAAAAGTCTAGAGTCTATGAGAATTTGAAATTCTACACTGCATTTCTCCTCCTTTAATCCAGATGCTTCTATGGAATCTTTGATCAAAATGTTCAGTCAAGTAGTCCAGCACCATCCAGTTTTGGTCTTATGGCAACGGAGCCAGTTGTTCATGGAAGTAATTAGCCATACATTCCATACCCTCTTCCTATTCCTGACTCTCCTTCCTCTGTTGTTACAGATGAAAAGAGAAAATTTTTGTGCCTTGGTGGCTGCTTGCAAGTCTTTAAGATCCCAGCCACACTGTGCAGTGAACTAGGAGACAACAGAAGCACTAAACACATTACTAAACCAATTAACTGAGATGTCCTGTGAAACCAAACCAAATCCCATGAATTGTTCTGAAAGTACACAAGCAGGCTCTGCAGCTACTCTTATGTTGTTGAAAATATGTCTATTACACAGCTTTTGCCAGTTGAACTTTTTACAGTTAAATTGCTGACAGTAATTACAACAATGGCTATGCTACCCTACCCTTAACTAAATTTTTCCCCTTCTTTCCCACCTCTGATAATTTTAGTCTACGTATATTTGCCTTTTCTTGTCTCTTATATAATCAAGGTTATACAATATTTGTCTTTTTGTGACATTTCACTCAGCATAATGTCTTCAAGCTCTATCCATACCATGCTGTTTTTGTTGTTGTTAAGTGCCTTTGAGTGGTTCCGACTCATTGCAATCCTGTTAAGGGTTTCCTAGGAGCCACTGGTGAGTTTGAACCACCGACCTTGTGGTCCAGTGCTTATTCCATAGCGCCATACCAGGACTCCATTGGCTGAGTAGCATTCCATTATATGCATATGTATGTACCACATTTTGCTAATCCGTTCATCCATTGATGGGCATTTAAGTTGTTTTCACCTTTTGGCTATTTTGCTCCAGTGAACATTGGTGTCTAAGTCTCTTTTTGCAACTCTGCTCTCAAGTTTTTTTGCTGGGTCATATTATGGTAGTTCTCGTTTTAGTTTTTTGAGGAACCACCACACTGTTTTCTACAGCTATGGTACCATTCTGCATTCTTTTCAATAGTGGATGAGGCTGCCAGTTTTCCCATGTCCTCACCAACATTCATTATTTTCTGGTTTTTGTTTTGTTTTATTTTGTTTTTAGCAATCCTAGTGGGAGTTTAATGGTATTTATATATGGTTTTGATTTGCATATCCCTGATGGATAATTATCCTGAGCGTATTTACATGTGTTTGGTGGCCACTTAAATATAGGCTTTGGTAAAATATCTATTCAAATCCTTTACCCACTTTATGATTCTGTTGTCTGCCTTTTTATTTCAAGTTGTTGGAGTTTGTTTTTTTCTTTTTTGAATCTTTTTATTGTGAATTGAGTGAAAGTTTGCAGAGAAGATCACCGGCTCTACATTGAACAAATCAATGATTGCATCCCTTCCATCACAATAATTATCCCACTTCGTCACTGTTGTTGTTGTTGTTAAGTGCCGTCGAGTCGGTTCCGACCCATAGCGACCCTGTACAGGGTTTCCGAGGGTGTAAATCTTTACAGGAGTAGAAAGCCTCATCTTTCTCCCGCGGAGCGGCTGGTAGTTTCGAACCGCTGACCTTAAGGTTCGCAGGCCGATTCGTAACCACTACGCTACCAGAGCTCCACCCACCTTCCCATCCTTTCTCAACTTTGTCCTTAGGCAACTTGGCTATTCCATGATGAGCAGTTACTAAAGTCTTGTCAGCTATATGGTTTCAGGGCTGTAGGGACCCCTGGTAGTGTAGTGGATTAAGAGTTGGGGTGCCAACCTCAAGGTCAGCAGTTTGAGTCTACCAGTCTCTCCATAGGAGAAAGATGAGGTTTTCTGCCCCAAAAAAGATTTACAGCAACTCCACAGCATACAACCAATCAACCTATGGTTTCTGTAGATCTTCTCCCAGTCAATAGCTTCTTTTTTCTCATCTTTGGTAAAGTATTTGATAAACAAAAGTTGTTGTTTTTTAATTTTTATGAGATCTATTTAATTTTTGTCTTTTTCTATTTGTGCTTTTGTTACTATGTTAGACAATAGATGGTTGAAAGCTAGGCTTGACAATGTTGCCCCTTTTTTTCTTCTAAGAATTTTTATGGTTTTAGTTTGCATGCTTAGGTTTAATCCATTTTTAATTTCTTTCTGTGCCATGGTGTAAACAAGGATCCTATTTGATTTTTATGCGTGTGGAAATACACATGTTCCCAGCTTCATTTATTGAAATGACTCACCTTTCCCCATTAAATGCATTTAGCACCCTTGTCAAAAATCAGTTTACCACTTACATGTGAGCATATTTCTGTACTCTCAGTTCTATCAGTTCAGTTCCATTTGGTCTATGAAGATTATACACACCTTACTCTTTAATCCTGCTTCCTTTCACAGATCTACTGGTTTAAAGATGGAAAGCAGATCTCCCCAAAGAGTGATCACTACACCATTCAGAGAGACCTTGAGGGAACCTGCTCTCTCCATACCACAGCGTCCACCTTAGACGATGATGGGAATTACACCATTATGGCTGCAAATCCTCAGGTGAAGCTGGGTATGGGGGTGGGCTCGGTTCTGTGTACAGTACATAGAGAAATTTATTTGGACAGTGGGACTGGATCATTAAAAGGTAGAATCATACTTCTTTGGCTTATGAAACTTTTCATAAATTTTGCATTTATCTTGGTTTCAAAGGTCTGGAAAACTATTTGTTCTATGAGTGTTCACTGATTCCATTAGGTGCTCTTCTATAAGAAGTATTGTGATGCAGATGTGAGTTCTTTCCACAGCTATTATTGAGGGCCTAGTGTGTATACCTAGCACATATCATGTAGGTGATGCGGTTTCATGGAGAGAGAGAGAGTCAATGGCATATATGGACTCTAGTAGAAAACCACAGTAAAATATTTAAGAAAACACACACGTGCATCAACAGAATGCAAGTAATGTATAAGTGTAGACAAATGATCACTTTGATAGTACCTATCTATAGATAGTATTCAGAGCCTGGTGTGGTGCTATGGATTAATGCACCAGATTGCACAGCCATTTGAACTGCAAGGTCAGCAGTTCAAGCTCACCAGCAGCTCCTCGGAAACCTTATAAAGGGTCACTATGGGTTGGAATCGACTTGACAGCACTTTAACAACAATATCTATACTATTAAGACTCATGATGTGACGCTGTAGGATCAGCATTGGACTGCGAACCACAAGGGTAGCAGTTCAGATGCATCAACTGCTCCTCAGAAACCCTATATAGGGTCGCTGTGAGTCAGAACTGACCCTACAGCACTTAACAACAACAACATATATCGTATTCAGGAATTTTTGGTTTCTATCAAAATGGTTTCTATTGTATTTACCCTTAAGTTTATGCTCAGAAGATCAGTTAGTTGACTATTTAGGATTTAGCAGTGGTCTACGAGCTATCAGGATCCCAACTCAAACCTACAAATATTGTTTTATTGTATATTTCAGGCACTATGCTGAGGACAGAGGACACAAAAAAATGAGTTAAAAAGTGATTTCTTACCTTAAGAACTTGGTGTGTGACAGGGTAGTTTTAATAAATCTCTAGATGTTGTATAAATAATACCCTATTTATTCATGATAAAAATAAAAAGATTTGAGTACATAACTAATAAAGATTAGTCAGTAGTCATCTGTTTACAGTTTTTTTTTTTATGAGTCCTGGTATGGCGCTGTGCGTTAATGTGCCAGACTGCAAAGCCATTTGAACTGCAAGGTCACCAGCTGCTCCTCAGAAACCCTATACAGGATCACTATGGGTCGGAATCAATTCAAAGGCACTCAACAACAATAACATCATTCCATATTTCATTATTTCTTTTAAGGAAAAATTGGGTGTTAGATTATAATACAAATAATTTCAGCAAAGTTTATAATCTTTAAAAAGTTTATACAGTGCTTACTATAGTCTAAGATTTTTCTTGTCATAGAAACGTCTTTTCTGCAGTAATATTAGTTAGAGTGAAACTCGAATTACTCAGTTCATCAAGTCATAACAGAACACAACAGACTCTTTACTATCAATGAATAGTTTCCATATTAATGTACCTTCTTGAGGTTCTAATTTTTTATATCAACAAATACATGACCACTACCCTGAAAAATTATAATCTTCTTTTAAAAGTTAACATTTTTTAGCTTATTTGTGTTTATATGATGTATTGGGGGGAACAAAAGTGAAACTTGTTTTATTATTATTATTACTATATTTTCAGTATGTTTCCTTCACTTAAAAATATAAACATTCTGGATTTTGCCTATTAAAACTCAACACAGTTCAAATTTTTGCTTCCTGTTAATTCATTTCTTCCTCTTTTCCCCTAGAAAAGCTGAAATATATTGTTGTTGTTAAGTGCCGCCACGTCAGGTCCGACTCATAGCGACTCTGTCTAGGATTTCAGAGGCAGTAAATATATACATAAGTAGAAATCTTCATCTTTCTCCCATGGAATGGCTGATGGTTTCGAACTGCTGACCTTGAGGTTAGCAGCTCAACTCATAGTCACTATGCTACCAGAGATCCTTGTTCTGACCCTATATACGGTTTCCATGAGCAGGTAGGGAGTTTGAACCACCAACCTTGTGGTTAGCAGTCCAGTGCTTATCCTACATCACCACACCCTGACTCTGGGATATATTATGAGGATAGAATTATCTGTGTTTCTTAGTCCTCACCAGTATAACAAATGTTTTACATTGTTATTGGAGCCATTTTATAGGACAAAAGAATGTAAATGTAAAATGCAGTTGTGCCCACCTTCCAGTTTTCGTCAAGTTAAGCTAGTGTATATTTGCATGTGACAACTTTCTTACATGGGGAAAGACTCAATCCCAAGGGCAATAGCAGTTTCAAACTGTGTGTAGTGTTGAAGGTGGCAGGTCAGCCTCAAGGGTCAGTAACTGACCATTTAAACTCTTGGCAAACTGTAATTTATTGGATAGAAGAGGGCTGCTGAAGACCCCCTTGTAAATATAGGCAAAGGTGGAAGGAAATCAAAAGAAAGAAGTAATACAGCAAAGACAGAATGACATTGATCTCACTGAAAAATCTCGGATTAGGATAGCACAAGGGTTAAGACGGCGAGCTTTGGCATCAGGCAGATCTGAGTTGGAATTCTCTCTCTGCCATGTACCACTTATGTGATTTAGCAACCACTTTCCCTCTCTTTACCGAAGTTTCATCTTCTATAAAATGAGAAGAATACAGATTTAAAGAGTGCATGTAAAGTACTCAACATACCTCATACCTTGTATGCTTTCAATAAAAGTTAGTTAGCATCTTAATATTTTTACTCGAAGACACTAGATACTGTCTTGGAGAAGTGGCCCTTATTCGTGGCAGATGTCTTTGGATCCAGGATGTAAGGATCAGTTCTCTTTCTAGGTAATGTGTTCCCACAGTATCTTGGAGTCCTTTTGGGGTGGAATTTCTACCCTGTATGTTGCTGGTGTGTGGTCTTCTGACCTCCTGGATTTTCCTTTTCACCACCCCCTTGAGAAAAGGAGTTAGGAAGCAGATGTGGCTATGCCACAACTGCCACAGCTGTGGGCTTGGGTGGAGGAACTGGGAGCTAGAGGATGAGCTACACCCACTGCACAGCTGATGTGAGCCACACATGAAGCTGGGAAGCTGTTCTCTACTCCCAGCACACTCAGGGCCAAGTGAAGGCCCATAAGAGAGTGGTCACTGCCCTCATTACAGGACCTAGTGAGTTCTGTTTCACCAAATCCCAGGCTAACCCTATGGTTAACATTCTCTTTCTTTACCTCTACTCTATCGATATAAGACAAAGAAAGGAGAAGTGTGCCCCTTTACATTAGATAGCCCGAAGTCCCCCCCACCCCCCGTCTAATAGACGATTCCATTCCACCGGTCATTTAGGCAGGGGGGGCGTGGATGGAGGAGTGTGACTTATAAAGGTAAAAGCACCCCAGAAGTCAGAGTGACCAAATCAATTTCTGAGACCTAGAATTCTGTCTCCTGGTTGGTTGATCTACACAATATTCTAATTCAGAGGATAGGGCTAAGAGACTCCTTTTTTTCTTTTCCACCTAAATAACCAAAATCAAACACGAGGGGAAACTCATGAGCAGAGTCCAAAGAAGTCCTAACAGGGTGTATAGATTTATTATTGTTAAGTGCCATCAATTCGGTTCTGACTCATAACAACCTTGTATAATGTTTCCATGAAGCATCTTGTGGGTTTGAACTACTGGTCTTGTAAGTTAGCAGTCTAGTGTTTAATGTGCATGTTGTTGTTATTTAGTGCCATCAAGTCAGTTCCATCTCTAAGCAATAGTGTACAAGGTTTCCAAGGAGCAGCTAGTAGGTTTGAACTGCCAACTTTGCAGTTTAAACCAACCTTACAGTCTAGTACTTTATCCTACAGTGCCACCAGGACTCCAATAATAAATTTCTGTTAGTTGGCCCAGGCACCGCTGGGATTCGAACCCAGGATTTCCTAGTTACTAGCAGGCATTTTAACTAGTTAAACCATTACAATTGCAATGAGAGTATGTTGATGGTTATGCCACTAGCTAGTAGAACATGTTCCAAGTTCCTGAATATACTGATTCATTGCAATTCTAAGAGTGAAAAATGCCTGCCTGCTTTTTCTATCCTGGGGTCTGCAGTAGAGCTATATGCAAACACTCTAGGCGCTGGTTTGTGAAATCACCTAGAATTTGAATGGACTTTACCGCCCTTTAGAAAAATAAAGTGGTATTTCAAAAACTGACAAGTGGCAGACCAATTTTTTATCTAACTCTTAGGTGTCATTTGCCGCTATACAGAAATGCCATTATAGAAGAAATGTTTAATCTTGCTCTACAGCATCTGCTAATGTGTATTAAAGTCTTTTACCAATCTCTTAATTTGTCAAATAAAACTTGATTTTAAAAGAAATACATTATAAGTAGGCACTGAAGGAAAATTGCAAAAGCTAAGTCTTTCCGGATATTAATGTCAAAAGCCTAAAGTATAGTCAACAAAAAACTGAAGTTAAATCCTACTCTGGTAATGCCCTTTGATTACCTTGAATTTTTTTTTTTTTTTTTTTTTACATTTTAAAAGTATTTAGGCTTGCAAAGGAGACATCTCCCTCTATTTTTGTAACACACTGTAGACTATGTGATGTGAAATGACCAAGGGAAAAAGGAAAAGGCTGGAGTGGAAAAATTAGTTTGGTAATGAAACACAGACGGTAGAGCTTTCCTGAGCAGTGGAAAATAATTTCAGAAAGCAGCCAAGAGAAAGGGTGAGAACCAAGGAACAAGGGAAATACTCATATTTTATAGACTATGATATTTTTCCACCTGGGTAAATCTTTTGGGAATAAGAACCACTAGTTATTATTGACTGCATCCAAACTCTACATGGGATAGAACACAGGGCTCTTAGCATACACTGGACTGTGTATCATCCTAACTGTGTGCAGCTCAAGCAATTCATAAGAGACCAAAGCAGTCACATAGTTTAGTGAAATAATGAGTGATTATGCAGTATTACACCAA